TTCAGACCAATCTCCCTAATGAACACCGATGCAAAAATCCTCAACAAAATCTTAGCTAACAGAATCCAACAATGCATTGAAAGAATAATACACCACGACCAAGTGGGCTTTACCCCAGGAGCACAAGGATTGTTCAACAACAGAAAATCAATTAATGTAATCCATCACATCAACCGACAGAAGAATAAAAACCACATAATCCTATCAACAGATGCGGAGAAGGCTTTCGACAAAGTTTAACACCCATTTATGTTTAAGGCCCTTAAGATCCTTGGAATAGAAAGAACATATCTCAATATGCTAAAAGCCATATATGATAAGCCCACAGCCAATATTACCCTCAACGAGAAAAGCTGAAAGCCTTTCTGTTGGGAGTGAACAAATGCGGAGATTTACTGAGGGACTGGAGAAAGGCAATAATAAATCAGGCCTTGCATCTAAAGGTCATAAGCTGGTAATAAATTGGGCCTTGCATCTGATTCACGGGTCCTTGCATCAGGATGGGACTAGATGAAGGTGATAACGAACTGGGCCTTACATCAAGGACACAGCGATGAGTCACCCCTTTGAAATCTGAGCTTAGGACCTATATAAGAGACCCTTCCCCCTTATTGAGTTGGCAGTAGCTGCAGACCCCATTCTATGGGCTCCATCTCAGCTGCTGTCCAGGAGCAATAAACTCTGCTTGCTCAGCCTTTCTGCCCCCTGCCTTCCTTTCTTGCGGCCGGTCACAGAAGTTGGGACAAAACACTTTCCTTTGAGATCAGGAATAAGACAAGGGTGTCCACTATTGCCACTGCTCTTCAACATAACACTGGAAGTTCTAACCAGTGCAATAAGACAGGAAAAAAGCATACAAGGAATCCAAATAGGGAAAGAAAAAGTAAAACTATCCTTATTTGCAGATGATATGTTAATTTATATGGAAAACTCTAAAAGCTCCACAGAGGAACTAATCAAAACCATCCACCAATATTTAGCAAGGTAGCAGGATATAAAATCAACACACAAAAGTCAGAGGCTTTCCGATACACAAACAACCAAGCAGAAGAAGCAGAGATAAAAACAAAAACAAAAACAAAAGCCATCCCCTTTTCAATTAAAACAAAAAGAATCAAATACCTGGGAGTCAACCTAACAAAAGAGGTAAAAGACCTCTACAAAGAAAATTACATAACACTGTTAAAAGAAATACAAGAAGACACCATGAAATGGAAAGACATCCCCTGCTCATGGATCGGGAGAATTAACATCATCAAAATGGCCATCCTGCCAAAAGCAATATACAGATTTAATGTCATCCCCATAAAAATCTCAATGACATTCTTCAAAGAAATAGAAAAAATGTGGATGAGATTCATGTGGAACAACAAAAAACCTCGAATAGCCAAAACCCTCATGTCTAAGAAAAATCAAAATGGAGTAGGCATTACAATCCCAACTTCAAGCTGTACTACAAAGCCATAATAATCAAAACTGCATGGTACTGGAATAAGAATAGACATACAGACCCGTGGATTCGAATAGAAAACCCAGATATAAACAAGTTTATAGACACCTAATTTTTGACAAAGGAGCAAAGAAGATACAATGGAACAAAGAAAATTTGTTCAGCAAGTGGTGCTGGGAAAACTGGGAAGCTACATGCAAAAAAATGAAACTAGATCACTGCTTCACTCCAGTCACAAAAATCAACTCGAAGTGGATTAAAGACCTAGACATAAGAACGGAAACCATAAAATACCTAGAAGCAAAGATGGGTCAAACACTACACGACATACACTTCAGCGACATCTTTAAAGACAGAGCACCCAATGCCACAACAGTGAAGGCAAAGATAAATAGATGGGACTACATCAAGTTAAAGAGCTTCTGTACAGCAAAAGAGACATTACAAAAAACAGACAGCCCACTAATTGGGAAAACATTTTCTCACACAAAATCAGTGGTAAAAGATTTATCACCAAAATATATGGAGAACTGATGATATAAATAAGGACCTAGACCTCATGGATTGAGCAGACATCTACAGAACGCTGCAGAAAAAAAAAAAAAAATCTGAGTAAACCTTTTATTTAAGCGCACATGGATCATGCTCCAGAAAAATACCGGATGGTTTCACTCATAGCAGGAATATAATGGACCAAGCGGGAAAATAACAAAAATAATGAACAACCATATACCAGAGACATTTTGCGGGGGTAGAGTGGGGAATGGGATCAAAAACGGGGGGTGGAGAGGGAAGTGCACGAGATTATGGTGATGGCACACGGGTGACTTGGTGATGGGAAACCCCAGGGGATTACAATTGAGATGGGGAAAAAAAAATGTACAAAATGATGTAAAAATAAACTGTTGAAAAAAAAAAAACAAAAACCTAGAGCAAAGTCAACAGAGGAATGAATAGGAAGACTAGAACAAAGTAAGGAGTAGAGTAACAAAAAAGGCAAACAAAAAGGCAAGGCAAACAAATGACAAAGATGGATGCCAGTATATAATTTTAACTCTAAATATAAATGGGCTAAATTCATCAATAATCCAGAGTAGCAGGCTGGATTGAAAAACAGAACAAATCTTTTGTTGTCTACAAGAAACACATTTAGCTACAAAAGATAAGTAGACTGAAAGTGAAACAACGGAAAGCAATTCTAATGGACCTATAAAGAAGGAAGGAACTCATATTAGATAAAATAGCCTTGAAACTAAAAATGGTTAAAAGACACACAGATGATCACTACATTATTAAGGGGATAATACATCAGGAAGACATAACACTCATCAACAAATACTCATCAAATGAAGGAGCACCAAAATATATCAGATAAGTATTAACACCTCTGAAAACAGACATTAGAGAAAATACATATGTAGTATAAGACTTCAATATACCACTCACCAATGGACAGATCAATGAGACAAAAAATAAGTAAATACATGCTCCAGAACTGACCATATACTGGGACACAAGACAAAAATCAGCAGATACACTAAGACTGAAATCATACCAACAAACTTCTCTGACCATGAAGGCATCAATTAGAAGTAAACCATAAAAATAAAGCAAGGTACCTTGGAGATTGAAACCCACAATGGAAGACCATTAGATCAATGAGTAGAACAAAGAAGAAACTAAAAAATACATGGAGATGAATGATAGCGAAGACACAACTCTCCAGCATACGTGGGGCACATAAAAGCAGTTGTAAACAACAAGAAACAACCAAATATCCCACCTTAAAGAGCTGGAAAAAGAACAACAAAAACCTAAATGGTAATAGAAGAAAGGAAATAATAAAAATTAAAGCAGAAATAAATGAAATAGAAGTTAAGAAAACAATCCAAAGTATCAATGAAACAAAAATTTGGCTCTTTGAAAAAATGAACAAAATAGACAAACATTTAGCCAGTCTCACAAAGAAAAAAACAAGAGAAAGCACAAATAAATAGGATCATAATCAAAAGAGGAGAAATCACCACAGACACAGCAGAAAACAAAAAATAGTAATCAGAGATTATTATGAAAAATTTTATGCAAACAAGTTCAACAATCTAGAAGAGATGGACAATTCCTACAACTTTACAACAATCCAAAACTAGATAAAGAAGGAGTAGAACACAGAAACTGGCCATTTACAAGCAGTGAAATTGAAACAGTAATCAAAACCCTCTCCAAAATCAAAAGCCCAGGACTGTATGGAGTCACAAATGAATTCTACCAAACATTCAGAAACAAACTCATGCCTGTACTGCACAAACTCTTAAAAATTTGAGAAGGGGCTCTCCCTAGTGGCACAACAGGTTGAAGCACCACATTATGAAACACTCTGAAGCCATTGCAGCATGAGTTTGATCCCCGGCAACGGAGCTGACGTACATGGCGTGGCCGACCTCTTCTGACCTGCCGGCTGCTCCCCTCAGCAGTGTACTTTGTCATTCTGCCTGTTCTGTTCCCCACTCTGTCTCTAGTGAATCCTCTCACTGTCCCTGCATCTCTGGCCTGTACCCCAGTTCTGTGTGCATAAATAAATAAATTTTTAAAAATCAAAACATATGTTCAGGAGTATTTATTTAGAATATGCACAAATTTTTTAAAATAACATGAAAATTAATAAACCAGAAAAATTCAAAACAGTTTTTATTATAAATGGAAAGACTATTACCTTTTCCAAGTTGTTATATTTTGCAACTTCAAAATCTTGAGGAAAATGAAGGATTTCAACAGCATCTGCATTAAAACTAAATTTTGCATAATTAAAATGTTAAAATTAAATCGTACTTTTAGTCGAAAAGATGATTAAGATGATTTAGTCTAAGAGGTCTTGTATAATGAGCAAGATGCCATCTTTAACTAATTCGAATACTTGATGTCTCCCAGGGAAGGAAGCAGAACAGGAAGCAGAGCAGAAGTGTAAAAGAAACAAACTAGCACATTGGAGAAAGAACAGCTCTTGTAGCAATGGACAATAAGTCCTCAATTTGGCTTCTGACACAGCAGCTGTGTCACTTGTCAGCCCACATCTCCAGAATACCTGCAATAACTCTTTAAAAGGTGTCAGAATTCTCACAATCTGTACTTTCTATGTTGATATTTGTTCTTTCTTTTAATAATACTATTACTAACCAAATGTGGTGCCTACTTGATATGGCAAATTGGGGTCTGTTTTAAGTAGCCATATATAAACTTCAGATTCCACACAGTACTTGAGTAAGTTTATTATTATATCCATTTTTTAAAATAATCACACAGAAAGTAAAGAATTGTCTTGCTCTAAATGCTGCTCAGTAAGGTGACAGAGTATATATAGCCCACCCAAACTTCATCTCCAGTGGTTTCTTTTTCTAAAAAATCAACCTAGTTATGTCCATGAGTGATGGCATAAAAAGTTATGTCCACAAATTATATCGTTAAAAGTGAAATCATTATACTAGTTGAATTACAGGCTTTAAATAAAAACATAAAAGATAAATAAGATCTATTAAAATATTACAAAAATCCACTGATTTACTGAACTGTACTAATAACATGTTAATACTATTCTTGAGGCTTACAAAACATTTACAAACTCTGTTGTGTGTCTTAAAGACCAGAAATAGATAACTAATAGCCAAGAGTTGAAAATGACCTAAATGCTCATGGACAAAAGAGTAGATAAATTAAAAAAATATGAAATCCTGACATTAGCAACAACATGGGTGGACCAAGAGAGTATTATGCTTAATGAAATGTCAGGTGGAGAAAAAGAAACATTGTCAGATGCAGAAAAACAAGCATCATATGATTTCACTCATATACAAAAGAGAAACAAAACAAAGGAATCAACTAATTTAACTTTTAGACTCTAAGGGAAAATTGATGGTTATGAGAAGGGAAGGCAGAAAGGAGTGAAGTAAATCAGGCAAAAGGAGTCAACTGTATGGTGAAAAGAATGGACTTCTGGTGGTGAACATAAACAGACACTGATGTATAATGATATACATCTGAAACCAATGTTCTAATACAATGTCATTTCAATATAAACATTCAAAAAGGTTGATTACTTAGTGAGTTCCACAATGTTGTCCTCTTCTGTGGAACTGTCCCGGGATGGATCATTTGTTTTCACTTCTAGAATTAAAACAAAGCACTTGTTTAGTACTCAAAGACTTATTGAAAACAGAGCTAACAATAAATACTGGAATTATTAAGATTCTTAATTAAGATGGGTCACATGTGCCATGGTGTTCTATATGTTTAGGTACCCTAAAATTAGTTATATTTATTGGTAATGTAAGGATAATGGAGGAAAAAAGGAAGGTAGAAAAAATAGAACATATTATTACAATTCTAATTGGCATGTGAGGATTCTAATGCAATCTTTATTATCCAAAAATCACTGATAGGCACACAATTTTCAGTGACATTCTTTTCTTCTGAAGATTATGGTAAGCATAGTTATAAAATACACTTTTTTTTTTTTAAAGATTTATTTATTTGTGCATACAGAACTGGGGTACAGGCCAGAGGCTCAGGGGCAGTGAGAGGCTTCACCAGAGACAGAGTGGGGAACAGAACAGGCAGATCGACGAAGTACACTGCTGAGGGGAGCAGCGGGCGGGTCAGGAGAGGTCTGCCTCGCCATGTGGACTCCTCCGGGGTAGGCGGGGATAGAACTCATGCGGAAGCGGCTTTAGATTCTCAGTGCTGTGCTCTAACCCGCTGCGCCACCAGGGAGGGCCCTAAAATACACTTTTAACTACAGAGTCAAAATGAGTTCTAAGTGCCATCACTTCACAAAGGAGTCTACTTTAGAGGGAAATTTAAGGGCTCTTATGTGACAGCAAATAAGTTCTGCTTCATATTTTTCTGTAGAGTAACTGTAATACCATAGCATTATAAAATATAGTAATAACTTTTAATGCATGATTGTTTTTTGTTTAAATTAAGGCATCATATTTCAAAAGTCACCATAGAAGACATCCAGATGGCCAACAGACATATGTACAAATGTCTGTCATCACTCATCAGGGAAATGCAAATCAAAACAATGAAATACCACCTCACACCAATGAAAAAGGCCCAAAATTAAAAACCAGAAACAATAAGAGCTGCTGAAGTTTTGGTGAAAAAGGAACCCTTTTTCACTGTTGATGGGAATAAAAACTGGTCCAGACATTATGGAAAGAAGTATGGAGATTCCTAAAAAGACTAAAAATGGATCGACCATATGACCCACCAATTCCATTCCTAGGTATGTACCCAAAGAACACAAAAGTACTAATTCAAAAAGAAACCTGCACTCCCATGTTTATGGCAGAACGATTACCAAAGGACAACATATGGAAACAACCTAAATGTCCCAGAACAGAGGAGGGGATCTGTTCTGTGTATATAAACACAATGAACACAAGACGTGACATATATACACAATGGAATACTATTCAACAATCAAAAAAGATAAACTCATGCCATTTGTGGCAACATGGATGGAGCTGGAAGGGATAATTCCAAGTGAAATAAGCCAGTAGAAGAAAGGTAAATACCTGATGGTGTCACTTATAAGTAGAATCTAGAGAAACCAAACAAAGGGTCAGACAAAGACAAACTGTAGGACCAACCGTTAAAAGCAGAAAATAGATCTGAGAATATTCAGGAGGAGAGGGAAACTGGAATGAGAGGGTGAGAGTAGGAAACAGGGTACGGGAAGACAACACAATAGACTATGGTGGAGGACTCTGGGTGCTTTGATTATGGGAAAATTATAGTGACAACATCTAAGGAGAAAAATCCTATATTGTGAAAAAATCAACAATGATGTTTAAATAAATTAAAATAAAAAGTAACACCCCCCCCAAAAAAAATAGTGGTCAAGATAAAGTGATAATCACTGCCTAAAATTAATTAGTTTTGGTGAAATGATAAAGATGAGTTCCAATTTGAAAATGGCTTTAAGTGAATTAAGTGTCCATTGAGTAAACATTATCGACATTTATACTTTGTTCATGTTTTCTTCAATGTACTAGAAAAAATTTCTCTAAATCATTAACAAAATAACAAAAAAAAATTTCAAAGATTAGCTAACTATTTGCAGTAATACTGAATGTGACTTTACCATCTTAGATATTGAAAAATGTTCACAGGAGGCCTCCCTGGTGATGCAAGGGGTTAAGTTGCACATTATGAGCCTGTGGACAGCCACTGAGGCACAAATTCAATCCCTGGCCAAGAGCTAACCCATAGGTGCAGCAGATCTCTTCTGTCTCACCCACGTTCCCCTCAGTAATTTCAGTCAATCCACCTGTTCCGCTCCCCACTCTGTTTCTGGTGAGTCCTCTCACCCCCTGTACCTCTGCCCTGTACCCCAGTTCTTGTATGCATAAATAAATCTTTAAAAAAATGTTCATGGGCCTGACCAGGTTAAAGCACAGCACTAAGAAGCTAACGCCACTTCAGCATGAGTTTGACCCCTGTCCCTGAAGTGACCCACATGGTGTGGGCAGACCTCTCCTGACCCGCCCACTGCTCTCCTCAGCAGTGTACTTTGTCAGCCTGTTCTAGTCCCCACTCTGACTCTGGTGAATCCTCTCACTGGCCCTGCACTTCTGGCCTGTACCCTACTTCGGCATGCATAAATAAATAAATCTTAAAAAAAAATGTTCACAATGTGAAAGGAATCTGCCTGTTTTGTTCAGCTGCCATATTTAAAGACAGCAGGAAAAGTCTGGTGACAGCATTTCCAGATTATCATTTTTCTAAAGAGGCTACACCATAACAAAACAATTACTATCTAACTGTTATCTAACATATTGCTTGTGCTTACTATAAACTGGTAGTTATCAAAACTGCTTAAAGTTTGATGTTACACTTGGGGAGTATATTTTTTTATATACAAGGTCAGATTCGAAAATAGATAAAATCTGAGTTTATGAAGGAGATGTGCTTCTTATGGAAATAACTTCTTTAGCATAATGCTGGTCATAAAATTTCCAGTTATTAAGTTGTGGTGATACTTTTTTAATGCAAAGATTCAGCTCTTCCAGTTAGAATTACAAAAATTATCAATTTTTCTGATATTATCAATATTTTTGTAGTCATTTGAATTTAATCACACTAAATTAGATATTAAGAAATTTATTTCTGCGGCCAACATAGTTTTTGGCATTCACTATTATGTTGTCCATCTTTTGGAATAATAAAACATCTATTTTCATAGTATTTCTGGACAATTCATTCACTGTAATATCTTTGACACAGCAACTTTCTTATTATTAAACCTACAACACATTAAGTGCTTAAAATAAAAGCTTACCAGAACTGCTTTCCTTTTGACCAGGAGGTCGTATGGTGTCCAGTGACTTGTCAGGATCATAATTCTTTATATCCAGGAGTCGCCCTTCTCTAACAGATTCCCATACAAAATCTGGGTTGGCAATATGAATATGGTTCTTCTGGACAGAGTTCAGTTGACGATGACTGAGAACATCAGTACTGTCTAAGATTACATGTGTACACTAAGAAAGAATCAATTCACTTTGCATTAGTAAAAACACAATTATAATAAAGCATTTGTATTAATTCTGAAATTTTTATCCTTAAAAAGTCTTGTTTGAAGGTAATTTGTAGTAATATTTCTCAAACTTCTGAAGCTCATAAATATCATTTCCATATAAAAATTTTTAAAAATTTTCAAAAAGTATGGATATGATCACACCATGACTGCTTAACCAACCCTAAAGGTGTTTCCAGGCCCTCCCTGGGGTCGCGGCGGGTTAAAGCATAGCACTAAGACGCTAAAGCCACTTCCGCATGAGTTCGATCCCTGCCTACCCGGGGAGGTGACCACATGGCCAGGCAGACCTCTCCTGACCCGCCTGCTGCTCCCCTCAGCAGTGTACTTCGTTGATCTGCCTGTTCTGTTTCCTGGTCTGTCTCTGGTGAATCCTCTCACCCTCCACATCTCTGGCCTGTACCTCAGTTCTGTATGAATAAATAAATAAATCTTAAAAAAAAAAAGGTGTTTCCAAATATTCACTACTATAAACAATGCTGCACTAAACATCTTCACCTATGAAATCATTGCATACTTGTATACTTATTTCCTTAGGTGGAATGAGAGGTTCAAATACATTTAGTATTTACTATAATTTATACTTTTATTATTTTTTAATAAAAGTAGAATAGACCACTGTTTTATGATACCAATCTGTCCTATATGTGTATCATGTAAGCTCTATAGTTCACTGATACTGTATAATTTTTTCTAAATAGCATAATTTGAAAATTTTGGCACACAGCTCAGCTTATATAAGACCATTATGAGTCATACAATAAACAAAAATACTAAGAATGTCATTTTTGTGGCTATTAAAAAATAAGTAAAGTAACAAATTGGAAAGGTTCAAAATCATTCAGAGTTTGCTAATGGAGTAGGTAGAAAAAAAAATTCTTGTGCCAATTCAGTAACTTCACATACCATCACATTCTTTATAATTTCCTCTTACAATTTAATTGAAAATCTTCTTTTTAATATGCTTTTTAGGACCTGTGGTTATGGTTTAGCACAAAATTTTTACACACTTCAACAACCAGCATTTACATGAAAAGATACATATAAACTAACAAATAAAACACTTCTATATTTTACTTAAAAAAAAAATCCCATGGACTTGTGTAACAAAAGATCTTCCAACACATAAATATGTTGTGTTTGGTTTATATGCAATATTATTCAAGTGCCCCATCTACAAGATCTAGTTGGCAGCAATTGTAATGTGATCATTTGTAGGGGAGAGAGAAGAACAAATCAATTGTAAAGTGATTTTACATTCTGACAGGAGGAAGTAATTTTAAAGTGATATGATCATCTAGAGGCACATTATAAAGTGGGAGTCATCTGTACAGACACTTTGTAGAACACCTGGAAAGCAAAATAATGGATTTAACTTATTCCCCATCATTGTTTCCAGTTCCCTTTCCCTAGAGGCTATTCTTCTATTGTAATTGTTCTTCAGGTCTCTCTCTAGAGCTATACTGTGCATAGGCAGCCCATGTATAAGTACAAAGCCATTTTTTAAGCCACAAAATGCAGTATCTAAATATATTATTTTGTCTTGTTTTCTAATTAATTTATTGATATATTTCGGATCATTCCTCATTACTACATATTCAGCTGTCTCCTGGTACGCACATTTCAGATGTTTATATATATTGGAAAAAATACTTCCAAAAGGGTTGCATTTACCATAGTTGAGAATTTAAAAAAGGAAGAGACCATGTTGGCATTCTCTACCCAGAAGATAAACTAGGAAATTATAACAAGCACGAATTTTTTCATCCATTCACAAAAATGGTGAAGCAGATAAATGAGGGAAGCTATGTAAAGGAAGTCTATGCAATTCTTCTTGAACAGTCTCATTCCATTTCTGATGATCATAAACAAACTAACTGTGAGAGGTATCACTTTCCAGCTGAAGTTGAACATGTGCCACAAAACAAACTAGGCCCCCTGAGCTGTACAGGAGGGCAAGCTGACTGAGCACCCCAAATGACCAAAAAGAGGAAAAGCAACAGATAGGCAGGCCCTGCATTTATAGGCGTGGGCCTTCATGACTTTGAGCTTCAATTTTTACTTCTTATCATGTGGTAGTTAAAAAAGAAGTGAGTCTTAATTATTTCAAGATTTTATCCAGCTGTTACATCCTATAACTAAACTATCAGGTCTACAATTCATTTTGAAAGAGGGAAGGTAAATTCCTTCACCCTTAAGAAAAAACAAATGGTATAAATTGTACTAAAAAGGTATGCATGTTTCCTTCTCTGTCTCCTATAATTAAACATGCAGGTGTCACTCTGGTGTTGACATTCTGATGACTACAGGATACTAAAAGTAAATGTTCTGCACTATAACATTTCTCCTGCAAGAACAGATTTGACTGGTCTGAAATTATTTCTATTTATGTCTCTGGCTGTGCGCTAATAAGATCAGATTTACAGGGTGTGTGGAATTTTCCTACTCACAGGAATAGAAGATGGGACTGGAAATGTGAGGTGGAGTTCCTGCTTCTGCCTCTCTCTCCCAAGTGGTAATATCACAATTTATCTTGTTTTCCCTTACTCCCCTTAGTGCACTATGTCTAGTGTACAATTCCTATGAAATTTGCAAATACCTGAGGATTTAACAAAAGGGTAAAATTTCCACCATTTTCCTTAATGTCAGTTTGTAGCTTTTTCTTCTGATGACGAGGTAAGTGCTTGACTTTCAAAAAGAAGATACAATTTGCAAAAATTCCCATGGTCATCCTGTAAAAAAAGTTAAAGTCAAAGATTTTTAAATTCTCATTTCAGTGATTTAGAATTGTTTTACACAAAAATTGTAGGGCAGGTAAGCATTATATTTTTAAAAGATATCACAATCATGTTACAATCACAAACACTATTTTCCAAGCTTGCAATATGTATGTTGGTTTTTTAATGATTTCTACCTTTAGAGTTTATAATTTGACCCCTCAATACCTTTGTATTGGCTCAAGCTATAACATCTTAAAAATATGAGACTTGAATTTCAGACCCAGTGTACAGTTTTAAGAATATGAAAGAATTTACATCCAAATTTGAAAATATTATGGTATAATAAAACCTTGGATTTTTAATGCATGTAATTCTATAAATTCAGAGATCCACTAGTTATGTAGGTTTCTGTTAAGTCACTTGGGAGAAAACTTGACTGGATGAAAAAGTCAACCCTTGGTCTGATGTTCATTTCTAGGAAAGCTGCCCCCTCTACCTCTAATCTCCTTTCTATAGTGTAACTTTAGTATGGTGTCAAAAACTCCAAGCTTGCCTCAGGGTCTTCACACATGGAACTTTCCTCCTACTGGTCTCATTCCAACACTGTACACCCAAAAGAGGAACTAGCATTTATCTGTCTAATGAATAAATAAAGAAATTAGGAGGTTATATTTCTTTTTCTTATGAAGTCTGTTTAAATGTAAGCCCCTTTCAATAACATTAACATTTACTAATTTCACATTTATTTACTGTAATTTGCATTTAAATTGACTATAACTAGCATTTGTAGATGGGAGTGAAGATGATGGGTACTGTGAAAGATTAGACCACACTAGTAAGACTAATCTATCTTGACCTTACTCTACAACTAAAGAAATAAAACAATAGAACACTCTAAAGAATCACTAACAATTTGAGGACAGTCTATTTACTATATACCTACTTCTACAGAAAAAGCCAGGCTGAAGACCTAAGAGCTAATAGAAAAGTAACTGCTCATGCTCACCGTAGGCAACCTGGAATAAACAGAACCACATAAAAATTGCAAAATAATTTCAAATATGGGGACCATGTTATCAATTTGTTTTGCTTTCTTATTTCAGCTTTTTTCTAGATGTATGTACTATACACCTAGACTATACTGTTATCAAAATAAAAATCATACTGTATTCACAATACCGAATCTTGCATTTTATGTCAGGATTTTAACATTAAACATTCTTGGAAAATACTTTAAATAGTAGTAAAGGGTTCAGAACAAGTCTCCCCCAAATGGCTATTTTGGCATTTGGATTATTTTGAGTGAAGGTAAATAAGATATAACAGATTCAAGAACAAATTTTACTGCTCTCATTTCCATAAAGGGCACTGCTTATTTCCAAAAATAACTTTAAAAGTACATGTCAAAATCAACAGGCAACTATAAACCAGAGAAATTCTGCAGGGGGGTAAAAGGAGACACAGGGACAATGGTGATGGTACATGGGTGAACTGGTGGTGGGAATTTCACTGGGACTATACCAGAGATGAGAAAGCATACATTGTACAAAAATGAAGAATGATGTAAAAAATACATAAAATAAAAATAAACAACTTTTTTGTGATCTATCAGTACAGAAAAGGAAATACCTAATTACATCTAAGAACATCTGTCCTTCTAATTTCCTGTAAATTAATTACACTCCTACCCTAGCCCATCCTTGGCTCAAGATAGCATAGAAAACTTTCTTTTATCTGACTGTCTTTGGTCCCTCCCCTCTAGACTGACTCCCCATACATATAAAATTAGTTTTCCTCCTTTTAACCTCTCTTGTCAATTTAATAAACTGACAAGTCTGCAAAACTTTAGAGGGCAGCGATTTTTCCTCCCCTACAAATGCTACCTTATGGATGCATTATAAATGAATTATTTCTATATTGCTGGGCAATTAAATTATTTCTCAGTTTTTGTACCAAAAACAAAGCTGTAATGTAGATCTTTATATGTAAATCTTTGATGCAGCTACAATGACAGTTCTAAATTCCTTATCAGTACTGAATTAAAAAGTTTAAATCAATTTTGATTCTTATTAGATTACATTAATTTTCAGCTTTAGCTTAAATTGTATTACTTTTGTTTTGCTTACACTTCCTAGTATATTAGGATATTACTATTTTTCTTTCTAAAAATAGCTTCTCCCCCAAGTAATTTAATCATTATGAAGAAAAATAAAAAGCACCCATAGTGGTGGAAATGTTCTGAACTAAATTATGATCATGGTATACAACTTGGTAATCTTTAAAAGTCATTTTAAAGTACAATTAAAATGAATGAATTTAATATGTAAAATTTTGCCTCAACAAAGTTGTTTTTTTTTTTTTTTAAGATTTATTTATTTGTGCATACAGAACTGGGGTACAGGCCAGAGACGCGGAGGGTGAGAGGATTCACCAGAGACAGAGCGGGGAGCAGAACAGGCAGATCGATGAAGTACACTGCTGAGGGGAGCAGTGGGCGGGTCAGGAGAGGTCTGCCACGCCATGTGGTCACCTCCGGGGCAGGCGGGAATCGAACTCATGCGGAAGCGACTTTAGATTCTCAGTGCTGTGCTTTAACCCGCTGCGCCACCAGGGAGGGCCCAAACAAAGTTGTTTTTAAAAAAGCATCTATGATCACTTCATCTAGAAATATCATTGTTAATATTTTGGTATTTTTCTGTTATGCTTTCAGCTATTATATTAAAAAACTCTTTCTAAAAATTATTTACTATTTCTTTAATTTTTAAAGATTTATTTATTTATGCAAACAGAACTGGGGTACAGGCCAGAGGTAGGGATGGTGAGAGGATTCACCGGAGACAGAGTGGGGTAGTAGAACAGGTAGACAGAGGAAGTACACTGCTAAGGGGAAAAGCAAGTGAGACAGGAGAGGTCTACTGGGCCATATGGATCACCTCTGGGGCCAGAGGTTGGTTGGAACTTGTACTGAAGCGGCTGCAACTAGCTTGCAGTGCTGTGTCCTCACCCCTTAAGCCAGTAGGGAGGGCCCTTACCTAAATTTTCAATATAATTTTCCTATGTCACTAAATATCCTTTAATATATTTGTAGTGGCTATATAAATTTTACTTTAATTCTTCCCCAAATCATCAGATATTTGGTTATTTTAGATTATTTATAATTATAAATATACTTTGAAGGAAATAGTCCACTTTGTTGTTGGAATAAATGGCACCCAGTGGATTAGATAGATGGCCAGTCCTGGAATTATTGGATCAAGCCATATAGGGTTTTTGTTGTTGTTTGTGTGTTTTCACTTTTTTAATGTTTTAAAAGGCCCAGGTTTATCAGGAAAAGGAGAAAGGAAGAAAGGGACATCTACATAGACACAGGTGGGCCAAAGCTGCTATTGATGCTCTGCAAAAGTAAAAAGTTCATGAAAGGTGTCTGCATAGGTCGGGAAGCTTCCAGTATGGATATTTTTGAGTTTATCACTTTTTGTGTGATAAAATGTACCTAACAAAACTTGCTGTTTCAATATTTCAAAAATGTACATACAGTTCAGAATCATTAAATTTATTCATTTTAATTGCGGAACCTGAACCAAAGTTTGTACATTCCTTAGAAGGTGAATCAGAAAAGGCTCAGTCCTTTCATGAGTCATCATGAATTATTCATGACTCAGAAATTGTTCAACTGATATCTAGGAGTTCAACTTCGGACTTGGCACGTACACTGAGTGTTTTTATCACAGCTTCCCTAGTTCTTCTACACAGGCCAAACGTTATACGGGTCAAACTGCATTCCCTGGCTATACATAAAAATACTGTACTTTTTCAAACGTTTCCTTTGAAATTAAGTCTCAGTAGGTGAACTGGATGTTCGCCAGATAGAAACAAGGCCCCCTGCATTCTACATACTTTTCCTCATCTTCCCCGGCACAGCACTCCCTGGAGACCCGGGTCCGCGCGCGTCTACGCACTCGGACAGGCCCCGCTATCTTCCTCGGAAGAGCGCGCGCCCCCTGCCCAGAGCGCAGGGGTCCCGGCGCGCTTCCATCCTGCAAAAGCCGACCCAGAGGTAAGGACCCTGCACGGCCCGCAGAGACTCCGCCGGGGAGCCTAGGCGCCCGCCTCCCGGTCAGATTACCAGAACCCCGGCCATGGCCAGGCCCGAGCCCGGCCAGTTCCGCCACACCGCAGTGTCGGCTCACCTACGAGTCTGTGCGCCCCCACGGGCGCCCGGGGGTCTGGCGCCCTTGCTCCAAAAGGTCGGCGGTCAGCTGTGTGGAGGCTTCTTACCTGCGCGTCTAAGCCCCAGCACACGGATTCCCCGCGGCTGACGCAGTGGGGTGGGGATTGCTTCCGGATACTGGGCGCAGCTGCGGGCTGGGACGGCTGGGGGATGGCCTGCAGCCTGCAGCCTCCTTAGGCCGCGCCCCCGAAAGGGGAGACTGGAGTGGTTCCTGGCGCTGGGGCGCCGGGGATGAAGCCGCCCTCTGAACAGACTTTCCTCGAGCATTATCTCAGGATGGCCCAGGCTTTTTCTTAGTTTCATCTTTCAGGCAGGTTTTGACCAAAGAGGGTAACTCAAAAGTTGGAGTTTGGGAAAAGGAGATGGATGTTGCTACCATTTAACTGAGAAATAAGGATAAATATGAAAGCGAGAAAGCACATTTCTGGAAGATTTGGAATGAGGAAATAGGACATTAAATGTTAAAAAAAAAAAAAAAAGTCCGAGCCCTCCCTGGGAGCGCAGTGGGTTAAAGCACAGCACTAACAAGGAAAAGCCACTTCCTCATGAGTTCAATCCCAGCCTGCCTTGGGAGGTGACCACATGGCGCAGCAGACCTCGCCTGTCCCGCCTGCTGCTCCCCTTAGCAGTGTGCTTCCTCAGCCTGCCTGTTCTGTCTCTGGTGAATCCTCTCACCATCCTCTGCACCCCTGGCCTATAACCCAGTTCTGTATGCATAAATAAATATTTTTTTAAAAATCCAACTGAGTAAATAAACATTAAAGATCTAACTCCATTTGGGCTTCTTCTCTCAATTTTTTTTTTTTTTTGTAACAAAGATAACTGAGTTTGGACTTTCTTGAGTTTGAAGTTTGGCAGTGTTTCTAACAAGTTAGAAATTTGTATCTGACATATTAGAGATGTGGGGCCTGGATTCCATGAGTAGAGGATAACTGGGAAAGAATAAAATGTTCCAGATAGGGAATAAAATAAGAAAAGATATAGAAAGGATGGATTTGAATCCTGATGCTTCTATTTATTACCCAAGGAGCTTAGGATGTAAGTAATTTTCTGGGGCCCTCATTTCATTATTACCTTTTTTTTTCTTTTACATTTATTTATTTTATAAATACGTTTTTTACATTATTCTTCATTTTGTATATTTTTTCATCTCAGTTGTAATCCCCATGCACTTACCCCCACTACTTCACAATGTACCATCATCATAGTCCAATGTGCTCTTCCCCCAGCTTTGATCTTATTCCCCTCACCTCATCCCCCATAGAATGTCTCTGTTTATAGTTGTTAGCTGATGTTCTTTTTTACTTTATTACAATTAATACAACTGTACCCCTATGCTTATTGCTACTCTATTAACAACAAGGAAGATGTGGATTCAACCCAATTGCTCAAAAATAGATGACTGGATCAAGAAGATGTGAGATATATATATATATATATATACATATATACACAATGGGATATTACTCAATAATAAAAAAATGGAATATTACTCAGCAATCAAAAAGATTTGCAGCAACATGGGTGGAACTGGAAAAGATCATGCTTAGTGAAATAAGCCAAAAAGAAAAAGAAAAATACCAGATGGTTTCACTCAGCAGGAGTATAGGGAGGGGGAGGGGATTTTATATATATATATATATATAGTAATTGTAATCATTGTTACTATCTTAAAGGTTGTGTAAGAATCCACTTAGATGATAGCAGCAAAAATGGTACAGTAGGGAGCCCAACAGTCTATTCTTAACAAAAACATTTTTAAAAACCTGACGGTTTTTAAACAATTTAAAACAAGTCAGAAACTACCTTACCATAACCTAGCACACATTTTAGTTTATAGCAAATAAGAAAATGTGTAGCCAGGAGAAAGCAGTAAAACAAGGAAATGTCACAGGACAGGGAGAGGGGCATCTGAGGGCCCCCAAACTTGCCCTCTCTAAACAGGTTCTGCCATATGCTGTATCAACATTTAAGACCTTTTATGGAAAGGAAATTTAATACAATTAGTGTGCAATACAGAAAAGACAAAGAATATAGTTTCTAAATCAGACACCAAAAGTTACCCATCCCCTCGTAGGTAAAAATCCACCCAAAAGGGATTGGTCCAAAGCAGAGCCTGAAAGTCTGTCACAAGTCTAAGGCACCTTCTGGAGGGACCCATAGAAAAGGGTCAGAAGTGGCCAGGCAAGTCCTGGAGGAAAAGAGCAAAATCAAAATCAATATAAACACTGCCATAGTTAGCCTCCACATGGATCTCTCACCCACATTTGTTTCAGCTACTCCAGGACCAAGAAAGAAGCTCCACTTCTTCACATGTCTCTGCTCCATGTACCTCCTCTGGTCTTCTAGTTCTTCTTCCTGCTTCCTTTTTCTTCAGTATCCTCTCCAGATTCTTGTCTTCCCTACTCAGCTCTGCCCTCCTTTGGGTGGGGCAGGAAACCTGGAACCTCCCCTTTTCCTGGGGCCCACTTGTTACAGAAGAGCTTTATGGTGTTTTGACTACCTAGTTCCAATTCCCTTGCCAACTTATCCCCAGAATGATAATATGGTTCTAAGGGAAGTAAACAAATCTTGTCCCTTGGAACTGTGTTTTCATGTATGTGATGGGGTTAGGGGTAGGGCAGGGTGGAGGGAGAGACAGGGTTGATTAATGGGACTTTTGTTTTTCCTACCCCCAACTCTCTCAAGGAAGAAAAATAGCTGCTGTGTACTTCAAAAACATATAATGGCAAATGAGCAAGCTGCTGCTTCTTTGGGCAAAAAATAAGAACTTAAACAAAATAGTTTAAGTTCTTGGAGGAAAAGTATGAGAGGAACAGCAGTAGTGATTTTTTTTCTTTTTCTTTCTTTTCTTTTATTCCTTTTAAAGATTAAAACCTTTGTAAAGCGCCTGCTTATGCTATACACAACCAGGGAAGGATCATATTTAGAAAAGATCTGAAAACATCCTAAGATTCATTTCTAACTGGTTTTTAAGTGCATTAAGCAGGAAATTGAACTGAGGCATAGTTATAAATAACTTAACTAGAGAAGGAGTTGAAAGATTGCACCAACACAAAGCCAATCTGCAAAATCTTGGAGGATATCTTTTTTCTTCCCTATCCCAGCTTCAGGCATTTAAGTAAATCTTAGGCAAACCACTAGCTGAAGAGGTTGGAGACCTCAAACCATAAAGAATGCAGTCTTTATAGTCATGAAAACAAATAAACAGCTATAATCCATAGCAAATAACAGCAAGAAATTTGGGGGAGAGAGAGAATCTGATCTTCAGAATTACCAGTTAAAAAACCCAAAATGCCCAGATTTCAATAAAATTATGAGCCATGCAAAGGAACATGAAAAGAAGGCCCATTCATGGAAAATTAATAATATAATTAATAGTGTAAAAAACAACTATCCCTGAGAAAGCACATAGGACATATTAGACAATGCTTTAAATTAAGCTATCTTAAAAATGATGACAAAGCTAAAGGAACACCACAAGAAAAATGTAATAAAAATATAAAATATGATAATAAAAAGAAATGATAACAGAAGCAAATAGAAATTTTGGAGTAGAAAAGTATTGAAATTGAAAAAAAACACCAGAAATACTCAGCAGCGGGTCTGAGTATATGAAGATTGGGAAACTAAATAATTAAATCCAAGGAATAGAAGGGAAAAAAAAGGAATAATCTATGGGACCTGTGAGACAGCATCAAGGACTTCAAAATAAGCTTAAGGGAGTTTTAGAAAGAAAGTGAGAATAGTAAATCAACACTTGAAGAATTAAGTATCCCAAACTCCCCAAATGTGATTTTTTAAATTTATTTTTTGATTTTATAAATATGTTTTTTACATTATTCCTCATTTTGAACTTTTTTCATCTCAGTTGTAAAGCCTGTGGATTTCCTACCACCACTTCACCCATTTGCCATCACCATAGTCCTATGTGCTCTTCCCACCCCAGTTTTGAGCTCGTTTCCCTCTCCTATCCTGTAGAATGTCTCTGGTTTATAGTTGTTAGTTGATGTTCTTTTTTTACTATATCTATCTATCTATCGATAGATAGATATCTTTTTTTTTTTTTCCAGACTCCTTACACTCCTCCTATGAGTGAAACCATCTGGTATTTTTCTTTTTCTTTCTGGCTTATTTTACTAAGCCTGATCTTTTCCATTTCCATCCATGTTGCTGCAAAAGTCATGTGTTTATTTTTTGGTTGCTGAGTAATATTCCATTGTGTATATGTACCACATCTTTTTAATCCAGTCATCTATTTTTGGGCATTTGGGTTGATTCCACATCATCTCTATTGTAAACAGGGCAGCAATAAACATAAGAGTTCATGTGTCCTTTTGAATTATTGTTTTTATGTCCTTTGGGTTGATACCTAGGAGTGGGATTGCTGGGTCATATGAAAGTTCCATTTTTAGCAGTTTGAGAAACCTTCACACAGCTTTCCATAGTGGTTGAACCAGTTTGTATTCCCACCAGCAGTGTAGGAACATGAAAAGACGGCCCATTCCTTTTTCTCCACACCCTCATCAACATTTATTGTTGTTTGTTTTTTTTAATATTTGTCATTCTCACTGCTGTGAGGAGGTATCTCATTGTAGTTTTGATTTGCATTTCCCTTATTACAAGTGATGCTGAACATTTTTTCATATGCCTGCTTGCCATCTGCATTTCTTCTTTGGAGAAGTGTCTTTGTAGCTCTTCTACCCATTTTTTTGATGGGGCTGTTCACTTTGTATTTGTTGAGTTTTGCTAGCTCTTTGTGATGGGTCCTTTATCATTCATATTATGTGCGAAAAATTTTTCCCAGTCAGTGGGGTGTCTGTTTTATTGTAGTGTCTCTTTTGCTGTACAGAAGCTCTTCAATTTGATGTGGTCCTAGCTGTTTACCCTTTCCTTCACTATCTTTGCTTTGGGTGATGATATATCTTTAAAAATATTACTGAGGTGTCTGTCATGTAGTGTTTCACCAACGTTTTTCTCCTATATATTTTATGGTTTCAGGTCTTCTGTCCAGTTCTTTAATCCACTTCAAGTCTTTTGTGCATAGTTTGAGATAGTAATCTAACTTTATTTATTTATTTATTTATTTTGCATGTAGCAG